TAGTATACTAGGACTGTATCCCAGGACTTGTTCTCAGACCTGGGAACTTCTTGACTGTACCACTTGAGTGCTGGGATACACATGCACACTGTAACACTATAGGAACAAACAGTAGTTTCCAGAGTGGATAGATGCACGGAGAAAACCAATCAAGGCTCAGGAAAATACACTTCCATGGGTGAGGATAATTTTAATGATGCTAATTGAAAAAAGTATCTCAAGCAGGTGGATTTTTAAAATCATACTAAATGAGAGTAGGAAAAACAACAACACGAAAATAAATGTGTCCATGGATGTATACAAGCACGTCAAAAGGAATCTGCATTTATTTTAATATGTTGAGGCTTCATCAGAGGATACAAACAGAAGATGCTAACTTTATCTGAGCTGAGCAAGTTAAATAGAGGACATGAGAGCAGCATCAGTGATTGCAGGAACATCAGTTTAGCAAGCCAGCTGAACTGTGGCAACATCAAGGATGGTTCAACCCCTAGATCAATGCCTTAGGAAAACATTTCTCTCCCGTCAAAATGGCCAATCCCATAGTAGTGGCAAACAGGAAGAGTGACATAAATAGTATATAAATATGAAAATAGAGCTTAATAGAGACATATGTAAATAGAAGCCAAAAGTTAGAAACAGGCTGTTGTGGCTCATTTATTAAGAGGAAGGAGATAATAAAATACAGTAAAGGGAAAATAGAGATAGACTAGGCCAGTGTTCTCAACATTCCTCACCCCGTGTCCCTTAACACAGTTTCCCCTTTCATAGGGATCCCATCACAAAATTATTTTGTTGCTACTTCTTTACTGTAATTTTGCTACTGCTGTGAATCTCAATGCACATATCTGATATGCTGTCCTTGTGTAAAGGCCATTGACCCCAAAGGGTTCCTGGCCTAAAGGTTGAGGAGCCCTGGGCTAGGTGACTTAAAGGATAAAACAGGGAGAGGAATGGAGGATGGAGAGGTGAGGGGTGGGAAAAGGCTTACCCAAGATGAAGGGTGAGTGAAAAGCTGTATGGAGACCTGTGAACTTGCAATGCAAATAAAAAATAATATTAGGGGCACAGTAGAGCACAAAGTGACACTAAATAATGGGCAAAAACTCTGAAGTAAAGATGTCAGTGGGCTGGGATCAGAGGGATGAAGAACAATGGGGTAGAGGGTGCGGTGGTTTGAATGAGAAAGGTCCCCCATAGGCTCACGTATTTGAACACTTGGTCCCCTTGGTAACACTGTTTGAGGCAATTATAAAAAGGTGGAAACTTTTTGGAAGATTTATGTACCTAGCAATGAACTTGAAGCATTATGGCCTTGCTTCATTTTGAGCTCACTGTCTCTGCTTTTGTTTTTCTTTTGAAGATCAAACAGTAGGTCAGTATAAAATCTTTTCTAAGCTGCTTTTAGTCAGAGAGCTTCCCAGAGATCGTGAGGTCATGACCTTAGAAAAGAGTCTGCTGTCACCACTTTTCTAGACCAGCATAATTCCCTACTACACTTTAAATCTGCCAGAGCCCACTCCTGCAGGAATCAGCAGGGGGTGTCTAGGATGGGGCATGAGGGTTAAGGAGATGGTAGGTTGAGAGAAAAGGAGACAGAAAATACAAGATAGATTCTGATGGAGTTTGTTAGCCATTTGGGCATGCAGGACCCACAGAGAAATGACTGCTGAATTTGCCTAAAGGTGAGACTCGATCCTTCCAGATTCCTGCTTTATGAAAGAGTCTGCTAGACATTCTGCAGGGCACAGAAAAATGTGACTGACAACGTGCCAATATAGGCAAAACTGTCTTTTGATATTTCTTGCTTCGTGAAAAAGTCTGCTAGAAACTATGGGTCTGTGGGCTAAAGATGGATGCCCTAATGTTACAGAAGAACTTTGGGTGACTATCCAGGCAATGAGATGTCTCTGTCACTTCTACAGTTTTGGAAGTTGCTTACAATGCACTTCCTGTTTACTTAAGTAATATTGTATCCTTCTGGACTCTTTGATGGAGTTGAAGAATTGATAGTTGTAGTTATAATATCCCTTCGTTATGATAAAAGATAAAGTGACATAAATATTGTAACTAATTATTGCTTGATACCTGTTTTGTTATATTTAATTTTACTATGTTAAAGTTTAAACCTTCCTTTATATTTAAACAGAAAAGGGAAGGTGATATGGGATTTCCCTCTGTGTGCTGTGAATACCATTGGTTAATAAGGTTGGTTTGAGCCTATAGCAGGGCAGAACACAGTTAGGCAGGAAAAACTAAACTGAATGCTGGGGGAAAAAAGGCAGAGTCCAAGAGAAGCCATGTAGCCCCACCAGAGAAAGATGCCAAAACTTTAACCAGTAAGCCACAGATACGTGGAGATACACCAATTAATAGAAATGGGTTAAATTAATATGTAAGAGTTAGCCAATGAGAAGCTAGAACTAATATGCCAAACAGTTATATAATTAATACAGTTTCTATGTGATTGTTTCCATTCTGGGATGCTGAGACAAACAAGTGGCCTCCTTACTACACCCATGTGTGTGGAAATTTTCTTCTATGACTTTTACTTAATGTATTTTGCATATTTTCACAGGAAGAATTCTTCTCATTCTTCTATTCCTGTAATTCATAGTTGCATATTTTTCCTGGTCTCCCAAAGAATTCACATATTTCTTTCATAATAAAAGAATTAATTAAATTATCATATATCTTGTATTTGAATTATTAAATTCATTCCCTTGTCTTGTAGCCCAGTTTTTCATACAACATCTAATTTTGCGGCTATCCAATGTGCTTTTGGTTAGACTTGTGTACTTTCGATTTCTGGTATTGTTTAATTCTCTACATTCTAAGATAGTCTTTTATATGTCTCTCTATTAAGTTCTATTTTCATATCTTGACTTTCTTCCTGATTTAATTTTTTTGTTTTCTGAATTAATTCAGGAAATTATTTCTACCCTGATAAATGCAATGCTGAACTCATCTGAACATATTCAAAATCATTCTTTGGAATACTGTGTCTTGAATTTTATTTATGTCACTCTTCCAGTTTGTCACTAGTATGGGATTGGCCATTTTGGGGGGAGCTATGTTGTCCTGGGTTTTTCATGTAATTTCTTTTATTTATTTATTTATTTATTTATATTTTTATGTGTATTGGTGTGGAGGTATGTCTATGTGAGGATGTCACATCTTGGAGTTACAAACAGTTGTGAGCTGCCATGTTGGTGCTGGGAATTGAACTCAAGTTCTCTAGGAGAACAGCCAGTCTCCCAAATGCTGAGCCATTTCTCCAGTCCCGCATGTAATTTCTCTTTTTGTAACAGGGCTTTCTTTCCTGGATTGAGTGTGTTGGTGAAGAGTTTCTGATACCCTTGGGTTCAGAGAGTGTTTCATGTTTGCTCTTCCTAGTTTTGTTGTGCTTGGCTCATCATGTTTTTCCTTGCACCATGGAGGTTTGCCATGGCTGGCTTGCTAGCGAGCGGGGAAAGCATTGAATTCTGGTCTGGGCTAGCAAAATGCGCTTATTCCATGGGGTTGGCACCCTGGGCAGCTACCAGCCCAGGATGTGGGGAACTGGTCTGTGGAGAAACATGGTATGAAGACACCTGAGGCTGCATCCTTCGAGATGGGCTGGAATGGGGAGGGCTGAGACTGTGGTCGCAGAGAAGGGACAGGCTGGGGAGAACACACTAGATTGGAGAGAGAATTAGGGATCTGTTGACCTTTCAGGTGTGGGGACTGTGCCTGATTTGGGAGTATACGCTACTGTGAACTCATTGGGTTGGGCTGAAGAAGTCTCTGCTGATATGCCTGCAGACTGGCTCCTGCCTCTGCCCCAAAGCCTGGGGGAGCTGGGGAAACTGTCCCACATTCCCTTGCTGCATCTGTTGCATGTGGTGTTGCATCCGCTGCTGCTGCTGCTGCTGCTGGGGTGGGCAGCCAATTCCTTTGGACTGCTGGAACTGGTTGTGGTTGGCCATTCCAGGGCCAGTTCCGGGCCCTAATGCTGCTATCGCATCATCTGACATCTTAAGATGTCTCAGAACTGGGCAGGCATGGTGTTGTGATTCGTGTTCATTTGTTGAGCTTGAGGACTCATTCCTCCCATGGGTGGCTGGAGCTGCTGCTGGGGCTGCTTCTGGGGCAGGCCAGCTCTCTGGACACCTACCTGCATAGGATCCATACTCTGCAAGGCTGGGTTGGAGTGAACACCTTGCTGATCAGGCATGGTAGGTGGCTGTAGCCCTGGCTGTCTCTGAGGCATGCCAGGCTGTCCAGGGAGAGGTTGTGGATTAGAGTTGGCATACTTGACAGCCCGCTGCTTGATAAATGCAGCCAACAGTTGGGGGTTGGCGTGAAGGAAACTAAGCACCTGTTGCTGCTGTAAGGGAGAACTGGGAGACCTGAGTCCGCAAACGGTTTTGTAAGGCTTGTTGAGACAGTGTCTGGTTTGAGAGGGCTCACACCTACTTTTCCCAACACTGGCTGTAGAGCCATGTTCAAGGGCTGACCAGGCTGGGCCACTGACATCACTGCAGGCCTCGGCATCCCTGACCGTATTTGTTATGGCTGAGATATTCCTCCTTGGGCTTAAGGTAGCTGCTGTTGCATTCCTGTGGGACCCATTCCAGGCTGCAAATGCCCCCCAGGACCTCTGGCCATAGGAGGCAGGTTCATACCTATAGGGGTCATGGGCATCATCCGGGGCATCTGGTGCTGGATTGGTCTTTGGAAAATTTGTACATGAGCCATCTGGCCCTGTGTCTCTGCTGCCCTCTGAGTCTGCATTGCCATTTCTACTGGCAGGTGGAGGCCCTGGAAGGGTGGAAGGAGCAGTCTGAGGTGGGGGTTGGTTTGGTCACCTGACCTGCTGCCTGAGACACAATTTGACCCCAGGGTAAGTAGGGTGGTATCGGGGCCTTGAGTACCAGCCTCAGTACCCTCTGAGTTTCAGAATAGGATTTCTATGGCAAGCGAAGATCTGAGGGCAAAAAAAATTTAACTCAAGCAAGTTCTTGCTGCATGCTCTTTATTCCTTTGCATGAATAAGCAGTGAGAAGCTCAACAAGAATAAGGGGCAATCTCCATGAGGTTTCTACTTTTACAGACATAGGAAAACGATAACATGCAAATCACAATCACAAAAAGGGCAGGTAGAACCTGACAAAGCTGCACTCCAGAACAGGTGACACCACCCAGGAAAGAGCCAGCACCCAAGGGGAAATACCTGATGTTCCAAACCATCATATAAAGTTACTAAAGGTCCCTGAACCTGGACTTCACCCACACCCAGACCGGTCTGTCTGGTAAGAATGGGGCTTGCTGCTCAGTGCCTATCTTCTAAAAAAATTTCTATGTGGGATGTTAGCAGGTAATTTTGAGGGATTGACTCTATGTAAATTTGACCATTAGAACAAAGAGTGAATGTTATTGCTCTAAGGCTTCCTGGTGTGGGGGAACCAAAGGTCAGTCCCTCGCCTGTGCAGAAATTACACTGCTGAGGTGTTTTGGGAATGAATCCCACTTTGAAGAGGGAATTATAGCCTCACAGGGCTTCCACAAATATGACAGTGACTTTTTCAAAAGACAGATGTACCTGCAGATCTGCAAAACGGGGTACCCCATAAGCTGTACACTGTGGGTCTGCCTTTATGAATCTGTCAGCTCTACATTTACTGTAGAGTCTTGTGGGCTCCAACAGGGTGGCATGATGTTGGGAGGAGTGGGCGGACGTTGAGAAGTGGGTGAGGTCTAGGGTGTCTGTGGGGTGGCTGACTGTTGGTCAGGAGCGCTGGTTGGAGTCTCAGGAGTTGGGGACAGCAGACCCAGCTGGTGTCCTGCCACACCAGAACAGTGGCAGGCTGGTCATTCTCTTGCGGAGCAGCTGCTGCTGCTGCTGATGTTAAAGCGTTGTCTGATGCGGAGGCAAAATGGCACCGGACAGTTGTTCTCCTGGCAGTGCCTGGCATGGGAGCAGCAGAGTGCAATAAACTGTTTGCAGATGGGGCATCCACCATTGGTTTTCCGTTTACAGCCTTTGGTGTGCTGCACGACCCTCTTCATCTTCCGGCAGGGAAGCAGATGACAGCGGGCACTGGAGCAGTGGCAGGCATGTATCAGAAGCTGTATGCAGCGTTGGATGCTCAGGCAGCAAGAGGCTCCCCGCCTCTGTATGGATGCTTCCACTTGCTGGTTGTTGCTCTCCTCACCCAAGCCAACGCCTAGCTCCTCTTATGGTCAGGGTGTTTAGTGTTAGAACAAGTGCTACGTGAGTCATAAGCCTGGAGGGGAAAAACAAGATGAAGGGCAACTCTGCAAGACTGAAATAGTTCAAAACCATTTTAAGTATTTTACTTGAGCTAGAAACCGACTGCCCTGCCATGGAAGACATGACAAGGTTTTAGAGAGACACACTTGGTGGCAACCTCTTGCCCTTTGCAGCTGTGTCCACTTCCGGGGGGAATCCAACAGGCTCTTTTAAGCCCTCCCTAATGAAGATGGTTGTGCCTATCCTGGCAGACAGGCACGTGAACGCCCCAGCGTGGAGTAAAAGCCAACTTCTATTTCCCTTTACTTTCTGCGTGGAGCGACCGGCCGCACAATCCTTAAAGCACGGGACCATGAAACCAGGAAGACAAAAGAAGAGGTGTCGAAGTTTCGAGCCCCGTTTCCGTGCCCCTGGATGGGGAGGCGTTTCCTTCCTACCTTTTTCCACGGACCGAGCCCACAGCTTAACAGGAGCAAAAACGAACCCGAGTGGTCTCCGGTCGGAACTAAGTTCCTTGCCTCAGTTTACCAACCCTGCAACTCTCCACCCCCAAGGGGTCGCTAAAACCACACGTCCGCCCAGTGAGGCCTTTGGGGTTCCCTTTCCCGGCGGGGCTGAGCCCTTTCCCACTAACCTCGGTGCCGGGCAATTTCACCATGATGCCAAATTCAATTTCCTCACTGTCGCTCCTTGAAGGAAGGCTTATAGTCCTAGCCTCTCACTGAGAGTGTGCTCATTGGCTACCGCGTCTGAGCTCGGACCAATCACACCGTAGAAAATAGACTAAACTCGTTTCTTGTCCCCTCCCCCCCGCGCCCCGCCTCCAAGATGGAGAGGTTGGGTATCCCGGGCACTTATGGGAATTGTAGTTACCTCTGCCGTGCACGAGAAGGGGCGCGGCATTAGCAAAGTATAAAACTCCTGGAGGTGCTTCTCTCATCGTCCTGTGTATACTTTACTTTTTTTTATTGCATATTTTTGTTTGTTTTCAGAGACAGGCTGGCCTCAAACTCACATAGACTCGCCTGTCTCTGCCTTCCAAGTGCTGGGATTAAAGGTGTGAACCACCACTACCTTGCACATAAAAGTTTAATTTTACTTCTATTTAATATACATTAGGTTATTCGTACTATTATTATTGTTATTATTATTCTTATTAAATACAGTGTTCTGTCTGCACGTATGCGTGTACTCCAGGAGAGGCCACTAAAGTGGTTGGGAGCCACGATGTAGTTGCTGGGGATTGAACTCACGACCTTTGGAAAATGAATCAATGCTCTTAACTGCTCAGCCATCTCCAGCCATGGATGCCAACGTTAAACCCTTCCTAGCACCTAGCATGGACACGACCATATGCCGCACAAAATTGTCCCAGCACCCTCCATGGTAAGAAGCAGAGGTTCCTACTGTGATGCTGAGAAGAAATGTCCAGCCCCTCTTTAAAACCAAGCAGAAACTGGAATCCTCTTAATACCTACAAATGCTATAAACGTTCTGCTCCATCAAAATTCTCAAAGCTAGGCCTGGTGAGAGGGTTTAGCATGTAAAGGAGCTTGACACACTAACCCATCTACCTGAGTTCAAATCTCTGAGCCCACGACACAAAGATGGAAGGAGAGAACCAGCTCCATGAAGTCATGCAGACCTCCACATGCACACCCGCAGACACATCAAACAAACACACACATGCTAAATAAATAAATGTAATTTAAAAAAAAAGCTAAGGACTGGAGAAATGGTTCAGTGCTTAGTGTCTGTTTTTCGGGGTTCAATTACCAGCACGCACGTGGCAACTCACACACGTCAGTAACTCCAGCTGTAGTGGTTCCTATTCTCTCTTCTGACCTTGGAGGACGACAGACACTAGCAGGGTGCGCTCACGTGCGCACGCACGCACACAGATCAACACCTATATGCATAAATAACAAGTTATACTAATATATGTTCTAACGCTCAGGCTAGGGGAGACCCAGACAGTTTAGTTATGGCAGCTAAAGCATGGGTCCCGAGTTCCATCCTTGCACATGATGGAGTACGCCTGTAACCCCAGCACCGGGTAAGCAGGGACAGGAGGATCCCCATGTCTTGCTGGCCAGACACCATAGCTCAGTGAGTGGCAAGAAATCGAGGAAGATACCTGCAGTCAAGTTCTATCCAATTCGAGTACACACACTGAGTCCCCACAACTTCCTTCTACATCCTGGGTTTTCAGGGATTATTGCACAGCCTCACAAACATCTGAAATCCAGAGAAATGCAGTCTGCATCTTACTTCTCCCAGATCCCATCTCCCATCTCCTTGTTGTTGTTTCCCTTTATCTTTAAATTTGTATCTATGTGTCTATGTGTATTAGAGTTTTGTCTTCATATATGTCTGTGTACCATGTAAGTGCCCACTGTCAGCAGAGGCCAGAAGGGGGTGTGGGATATTATAGAATTGAAGTTACAGACAGTTGTGAGCTGCCATGTGGGTGCTGGGAATAGAACCTGGTCCTCTGGAAGAACAGCAGTGACCTTACCTACTGAGCCACATCTCTAGTTCATTGCTTTTTGTTTTGTTGTTGTTGTTGTTGCTATTGTTTTGAGTTTTTCTTTTCTGTGAAAGGGTCTCACTATGTACTGTTCACTGTACTGGAATTCACTATGTGGCCAGGCTAGAAGAGATCTTAAAGGGATCTACCTGCCTCTGCTTCCAAATGATTGCTGGGATTAACGTTAGTCATCACCATTCCCAGATATGTTACGGTTTTTAAAAAGTCTTTGAGTCCAGTTAGTGCTGCCCTCAATTCCTCAGTGTAGAGTCATTCATTTGAGTGTGCTTGGCCTACCTTAACAAAACTGACTCCCCTAAAATCTGTCTGCTGTCTGTAGTGCCTCAGGTAGAGGTAGGAGTTCACGAACTCCTTACCTAGGATGTGGATTGGCTTGATCTAGTGCAGGTCTTACAGAGGCAGCCAGAGCCGCTACAGATTTATGAGTGCAATGGTCCTGGCATGTCCTCAAGACATCATTTACCTCTAGTTGTTTAAACATTTACCAACTCACCTGGAGGTAGTCGGGCACACCTTTAATCCCAGGACTCAGGGGCAGAGGCAGGTGGATCTTTGGGTTGGAGGCCAGGGTAGAATACAGAGTGAGTTCCACAACAGCCAGAGCTACACAGAGAAATCCTCTTGAAACTGGAAAACAAAAACAAAAAGTTTGTCAACTCCTCTTCCGAGAGGATCCCTGAGACCCAGGGGCAGAGGCTGTGCACCGCCCCATTTGTGGTGGAGTCTTCACTGACACTCATTCTCTGCCATGTGAGCACTTGTGAGATTCTGCAAACAGGATAGGATTTTAGTGAGGTTTTGTTTGTCTGTCTCTTTTTCCAGGGCAGTGCTTCAGAGACTCATTAAGTATCCCTGGTTGCCTGGAAGTTTGTTTTGTTTGAGGGAGTGGCTCTCAGTGAACATAGAGATCAAAAATTGCTGAGACTGTATGGCCAGCCTGTCCCAGGGTTTGTTTCTCTCCATCTCCCCAGCACCGGGGTGACAGGGGTGTGCTGTCGGACACATTTACAAGTCTGCAGAGAATCCCTCCCAGATTCTTGTGTTTACTTGAAAAGGGTTATATTTACTGAGCCATCATACTAACACTGAATCTTCACCTTTAATCCACACAAATATTTCTTTTTCTTTTTGCTTCTGGGGCAAGAATACAGAGCCTCAGATATGCTAGGAAAGTGTCCAACTTTGAGTTACATTCGAAACCTTACAGAAGTGACACAGTCATTTTCCTGCCTCAGATTCCTAGCAGCCAGGCTGGAGAGCCAGCCCAGTGGTTGAGAACCCTGGAGATCTGGCAGAGAAACAAAGTTTGTTTCACAACACCCATGGAGACTTGATCAAAAACACCCAAAACTCCTGCTCCAGAAGATCTAAAACCTCTGGACTTGGCAGGCATCCACACTTATGGATACACACACATACACACATACAAAATAAATGCACACCGTATACTTGAATATAATCTATACAGAATAAACATAAAACAAAATCAACCAGGGCTAGAGACATGTCTCAGTGCTTAAGAGCACTGCCTACTCTTCCAGATGAACCTGGGTTCAAACCCCAGCACCCACATGGCAGCTCACAATTCTCTGTAACTCCAGTTGCAGGGGGAGGGGTCTGATGCCAATGCATATAAGCTAAAAGCTAAATAATCTTTTTAAAAAATAAAGCCTCCTAGGACTGGAGAGATGGCTTAGCAATTAAAAGCACTAGCTGCTCTTACAGAAGATCAGAGTTCAATTCTTAACACACACAAGGTGTCACACAGACAACTGTAACTCCAGTTGCACACAGTCTCTGGCCCAGACAGACATGCAGACAAAACATCCATACACATAAAATAACGATAAATTTAAAAGTAAAAGCCAGATGCTGGTAGTGCACACCTTTAATTCCAGCAGTCGGGAGCAGATATAAGCAGATCTTTGTGAGTTCCAGGATAGCATGGTCTATAGAGTTCCAGGACAGCTAGGGCTATAAGAGAAACCCTGTCTGGAAAAACAAAACAAAACAACAAAGAAAAATCCCCCTCCAAAAAAATAAAAACAACAACAAAAACATCCCAAACAACTTAAAAGTAAAAAAAAAAAATGGCTCTGATGTGAAGAGCATGACCGCCCAACCAGAAGTCCTGAGTTCAATTCCCAGCTCCTACATGGTGGCTCTAACCATCTGTGATGAGAGTTGGTGCCCTCTTATGACATGCAGTCAGAACACTGCAAATCTGTGGTGGTGCATGCCTTTAATCCTAACACAGGAGAGGCAGAGGTAGGTAGATCTTTGTGAGTTCGACGCCAGCCTGGTCTACAAAGTGAGTTTCAAGACAGCCATGTCTAGAGAGAGAAACCCTGTCTCAAAAAAACTAAATAGTTAAGAAATAGGTAGGTAGATGGATAAGTCTTTTAAAAAGGAAAAAAATATTTTAAAAAGTAAAAAAAATCACAAAGTAGTTTGTCTTTGGATTTCACATAAATACGTCAAGACTGAGTGACTTGGCCTGTGTTCTTCCAGTGTTTATGCCTCGGCTAGACCCATCTCCTCTCTTCTCTTCTTGGACACTGGGCTTGAACTGACTTGTGAAGTGAGAAGCAGAGCTTCATCCTGGATGGCACACTGTTTCCATAGAGCATTATGTTCTTGAATTCCAGTCACTCTCAGCCGGGCACAGTATACACACCTGTAGTCCTAGCACTGTAGAGGGAGAGGCAGGAGGATGAGCGGTTTTAGTTTACCCTCTGCTATGTAGTGAGTTTCAGAGAGTCTGGTTACATAAAATAGAGTCTCAAAATGAGATAGAGATCACTGTCTGGCTGCTGTGTGTAGACCAAACTGAAGGTGGGTCAAGAGAAACAGCAGGAGGGATAAATAGAAAAGTCCTGTAATGAATCAGATAAAAGATGACAGGAATGGAGAGATGGCTCAGTGGTTAAGAACACTTTCTGATCGTCCAGAGGACCCAGCTACAATTGCCAGCACCCCATGGCAGCTCACAACTGTGTGTAGCTCCAGTTCCAGGGGATCTGACACCCTCACAGACATACAGGCAGTCACAACGTCAGTGCAGATAAACAAACAAACAAACAAACAGAATGTTTAGCTCGGCTTTGCTGGTGGACACCTTTACTCTAAGCACTTGGGAGGCAGAGGCAAGTAGATCTCTGTGAGTTTGATGCCAATCTGGTCTATAAAGT